AACAAGTAAATAACTTATCTCTAATTTCTCCCCAAGAACACTGCTTGAAGTTCCTCTGAATCTCTTCCTTTCTTTACAACACACAGAATTCCTCTTTGAAGTAGCAAGGAGGAAGAAATCTCTCACTTTCCCTCCACTCTTACAATTTCTTGAAGAAATCCTCACAATTGTTACACACTAATAGAACCTCTCTAACCTCCAGGCTCTCCTGGATCTCTAGGGCCTCCAGGCTTTTCCGGACTTCTTAATTTTCGGCCAAAATGTTCTTTTAAAGTTGTGGATGAGCTTTCCCAACATTTGCCTAAACATCCCTTCAAAATTTGGCCTTATCCAAAGCTTGAGTATGCATAACCGTCGATCTCGTCGTCGGCAGCCTTGAGGGCGCCGTCAGCGGGCTTCTGAAGATTTTGTCCTGTAGTCTCGGGAAAATCTCGCCGTCGGCGGGGTCGAGGGCGCCGTCGGCGGTCTAGTTCAAATCTTCACATTTTGGTCCTTTTCGCTTCAAATTCGTTCCTTTTTGTATCTTTTTGGTCCAATGACCCTAATTCATCATTCCTGCAAGAAAACATCAAAAATACATTTCTTTAAAGTGTAATATCATTAAAAACAGTATAAAATAGGTATGGAAATCTCAACATATTTTCCTTTCGTCAAAATCCCCTAAACTTAACTATTACTTATCCTCAAGTAATTTTAGCACTATATAAAAATTATGTTCTACCGCAGTACAATTTTAATTCAGAAATACTATAAGTTTGATTTAAATAAATATAATAGTGAGATTTTCAGAAAAAATTCAAGTAATTGAATCAACTCTGTAGCCTCCAGATTATCTAGTCATCAAGTTGTAAGAGTTCTAGTCTAAAAAGGGGTATTTTGGTAATTTGGGGGAAGTTTAGGGGTAAAAGGCTAGGTTGGTATCTTGGTAGAGTTGGGGTACCAACTATCACCAATAAGCCATGGACCAATGGAAACCCTATTTTGGGTCCTCTATGTAGTGATCTTAGCCAAACCCTAGCCTAGGGTTAGTGGTTTTAAGGGACCATCTACATGAGTCTCCCAAAAGTATCAAGGGATCAAAGCCTAGAAGTTTAAGTTTAGGATTATGAGTGATTGTGAATATAAGTATGTGCCTTAAGCCCTAGACCAACACCCAGGGTCAACCCTAAGGTCCAGTAGTCCTATGGGTGACTCATCTTGAGTTCCCCATAATGACCCCACCTATTAAGTGCTAGAGGTTAGGACCAATATGTGGAACTTCAAGTTGAGTAGAGAAGAGTTTGGAATTTATAATGGTGAGGGTTCCTTTTCTAGTTTTCTAAGAACAGTCAATAGGAAAGTCCTATGGCTAGACCTTAGGATGCTAAAGAGGAAAAACTAAACATCAACCAAAAGTGAGGTCAACATCCACACAGAACCACAACCTCCACACACAACCACATCCGCTACAACCACATCCTGTGGAGAACCACAACCTCCACCCATAACCACAACCTTCACAGACAACAACAACCACCACAATCACCTCCACACAGAACCACAACCACCACACACAACCACACAACCACACAACCACAACCACCTCCACACAGAGCCACACCTTCAAACACAATAACCACAACCCACAATCACAATCACCGCACTAAAACCACATCCACAACCACAACCTCCTTAAACAACCACATCAACCACAAACACCTCGACACACAACCATAACCTCCACACAGTACCACAACCATCAAAACCACCTCCATACAAAACCACAACTTCCACACACAATCAAAGCTAGCACATCCAAAACCCACATAAAACCACAACCACCACAACCATCTCCACACAGAGCCACACCCACACAACCACAACCTACATAGAACCAACACAACTACACAACCACACCCTACAATCACAACCACCACAACACAACCACAATTACAACCACCAACTCCACACACAACTGCATCCATCACAACCACCACAACTACCTCGACACAGGGCCACACCTCCACACACAACCACAACCCACACAGAACCAACATTACCACACAACCAAAACCCACAACCATAGTCACCACAACAAAACCACAATCACCACAACCAACTCCACACATAACCACAACCTCCACAGGCAACCACAACTACCATAATCATCTCTGCATAAAGCCACATCTCTACACACCACCACAACCAACACAATCACAACTCACACAACACACACAACTACACCTCCACACACAAACATAACCACAACCACAACAACCACCACCAACAATCCACTGACATTAATCATCACAATAACCACCCTATCACAGTAACCATCCAATTCATAGTAAAGTCCATTACCCCATAAGCAATAAAGAAAATCCAACACTAATGCAATATCACATGAATTGCAAAAACCAAACTCACAAAAATTGTGAAATCCAACAACAGTGCACAACCATAAAAGAATCATCGAGCGAATAAAACTCATAGCATCTAAAACCATTGCAAAAACAAAATTTCATAGAATATAGTGATGGAGAATACCGTGGGCCGAGGGAGAGCAAATGAACTAAGCAGAGCCGAAGAGCAGAGGGGATAGGGAGAACAAGGTAAGCACCAAGCCTTGCCAACAGAACCATGGATCATAGGGGACAAGACGAGTGGAGAACTTATCTTTAGGGCAGAGAATCGCGAGGGAGGGTCGTGAGAGAGGGGAGGAAGGGGGTAGGGCAACAGTCGAGCGAGAAATTAGTACGAATATGATCTGCGAGGTCAAACTTATGGTCTACATTTTATCAAAATGTTATCAAAATGGTGCTCTGCACCCAGTTATCAAATGGAAGAAAAAAACAAAACGACATTTTCAAGCCATGCCGCTCCAAAAACACGAAAAATTATTCAATACAGACACCGATTTCCGTGTCCAATCACGAGGATCAGGGTTCATCAGAGCAAAAATGCATAATTGACTAGGGCGGTAAAAAAAAGCTCGTTGTTCGTGAACAGTTGGTGTTCGGTTCGTCAATGAGTTCGTGTTTGATTCATTTGATAAGTAACGAGACGAGCGTGAACAAATTTTTTTTGTTCTGTTAGTTAAACGAACAAAACACGAAAGTGATGTGTTCGTTCATGTTCAAATCGTTATTGTTCGAAATATAAAATAATTTAAAATTTATATATAAAAAATTTATGATATTTTAAAAAATTAAATTTTATAAATTATAATAAATAATAAATTAATAATAATAATATATTAATATACTATATAAGTAATATACTAATATAGATATTATATGTTTATATAATATAAATTATATAATTAATATAATATATTATTTATATGTATTAATATTAGTGATGTCAAACTGACTCGTCGTTCGCGAACAGCTCGTGTTCGACTCGTTCGTTAAGAAATGAATACGAACAATAATTTCACGAATAATTTAAAAGAGGAGCTTATTCCAAACAAACTAAATTTGGAATGAAACAAAAACTCTGTTGTTTGTTCGGTTCCTTTACACCAAGGAACATCGGATCGTATGCATTTCTCAATTCGGCGACTTGTGAGTTCCCTCTCCTGCCCGAAAGACTCGCCGCCGTCATTCCCCTCCTCCCGTTTTCGCCCAAATCCATCGCTTTCGTGACCGAACGCTGGCGATAGAGTACCGGTTAGAGTTAGCTGAGGCTTGGAAGGCAACGACGAGGTTGCGGCGTACAAAGACATCCGAAACTCCCATCTTTCTCCTCCTTCCGCCTAAACCATTGAGGAAGGTAACCCTCGTCTTTCTGTTCTCTAAATCCCTTATTTCGTCTTCCAACACTAAGTCCCGGATCTAATGCAAAGCAGATGAAAAACGGGATTTAAGAAACTGCTGGAAGGCGCCATTTGCTGTTTGGCAGGATTTAGGTTAAATCTGCGTAAGTCCTGCTCAAATCCTTCTACCAGAAGGCCAGTGTAGTTCTTTAATTTTATTGGTGACAAAGATAAGCTGAATTCAATCTACAATTTTTTTGTGGGTAGTTTACTTTTTGATATTCTTATGAATTTGAAACGCGGATAATCTTAAAACAATATTGTAAGCGATGAATGCTACCTATGCGAGTTCTTTGTTGGTGTTTTAGTATCGATCGTCTTGCCCGCTGACATTGGTGATTTGGACGCCATTGGCGCTCGGCGAGTGGGTAAAGTTTACTATCGAATGTTTCAAAGCCTGGCTTAGGTTAAGCGGAAATGCAGGGCCTAAGTTCTTACGCATTAGTAGAAGGCTTAAAAAGCTATTTGTCGAATATATTTTGTCTAAATTGAAGTCAAGCTTTTACAAAATAGGTTCTAAAGCCCTGTTTGGTGTAATTGCTTTGTGTTTGGTGTAATTAGAGAAATTCGCCTTAGATGGTTTGGTCATGTTCAACGTTGATCATTTGTTGACTTTTTTGGGAGAGTGGATGTCTTAGATTTGATTTAGGTTAAGAAAGGTAGGGTAGACCTAAAAAGTCCTGGGCTTGTTGTATAAAAATGATCTTATTTTATTAGAAATAAATGCTCAAAAGGACACAATGGAGAAAATTGTTCATGTAGCCGACCCCACTTAGTGGGATAAAGTCTTAGTGTTGTTGTTGTTGTTTTTGTCTCTCTTGAATCTCCCATTCAAAAGGAGAGATTTTTTTTTTTTTTGCTTTTCTTAATCCTATCTTCTCTAAGATTAACCAATCCGCTTTTTAGTTATTATTTAAATAAGAAAAAGGAAAATGTTAGTTTTTTAGAGTTACTATGTTTTATCTTTTTGTTTAATTTCATCTTTAATGATGGAGTGGTGATTTCTTTTGGATATGCTAACTAAATCTTATCATTGTTTTTGTTTATAAGATTTTTAAGGATGGCATCGCAAATGCACGCTAAGCCGATGAAGTTTGAGAAAGCTTCAAAATTGGTAAGTTACTCTATGCAATTATGTTAATTTATTATTTTTAAAGTTAAGAGAATAAACTTTTGATTAGTTTAATTTGTGATTTTAACTTTTTTTTTTCCTGATAAATTATTTCAGATATATTTCATTATTTTCTTTTTTGGTTTTAGTTTGAAAATGCATGTTTCTTTTTTTTAGAACTCTATTTTATTGCCGCCCCGAGCCACTTTTTTATTACCTACTTGCTTACAACCTTTTGTTTTTAATGCATTGCTCTCGGAAGCTAGAGTGGATAGAAATAAATCAAAACCTTCTTAAGGTTGATAATTTTAACTAGAAAATTTGTTTTGGCTTGCTGTTCTTCATGTTTCTCTGAATCAAATTTATGGTCTGTGCATTATAAAATGCTAGTGTTCTGTGATCATTTGTATCACTTGGGATTTATATTTTTTCTCTCTTTAACCCAATGTTTTCAAAGTACTAAGTCCAATGCATTGCTAGATTTTTTTTTTGCTTTGCGTAAAGTGCAAAGCAGAGGTGTTTTTACTAATCAGAGCATTAGTGAATTATATATCATATAGACATATATTATTTACAGAAATAGTTATTCAACTAACCAAACCTAAACGACATTAGGGAATAATTTTTCAACAAATATAATAATACTTTCTATAACAGTAATTTATAGCTATTCGAATTCTTCTCTAAAAAATTAAAGATATAAAAGATATAAATAATAAAGTATAAAAAGGGTATTTAAGAATCGATAATAAACTCATGAATACTCATGAGATTGATTGATTAGTTATAGATCAAGAGATGAGGTAGCTTGAAGCGAGAGATAGTATGAAGATGAGAATTTGAGAACATTTTTTAATAGATCTATTGTTGACAATAGTAAAAGAACTCACTAAGGAGTGAGCATGAAGAGAACCACCACCAAGAAGCGATTAGCTTGAAAGGAAGAAAATGGAGAACCAATGAGAAATAACTCAATAACTAAATGAAACAATGTTAAAAAGAAAATGATTGTTCCTTGTTATTGTGATACATCTTATACAAAACCATAAAAGCCAAATCATAATAATCTTATAAGCAGAAGCTGAGTACATAGTTCTCCGTGCCATGAGGTGAAGTGGTGCAATGTGTGTGCTTTGCTATGAGCTTGTGTTTCATGGGTAAATTACATCGGGCTAGCACATTTTTTTGCTTTACTTCTAAATCATGCTTTGAATTGTGCTCGGTTTTAGCAAACACTGCTTAAACCGTGTTCCTGGAGTATGAGAAAATTTTTTTATGCTCAATTTCATATGGTCTATGCTATCATTTGTTGAAGGTTTTGCTATAGTAATTAGGGTCTGTTTGGGGCAGTTGCAACTGTTTGAAGAAGTAACTTTGAAGCTGTTGAAGAAGAAACAGCTTTTTAAAAAGCTGCAGTGACTATTATAAATTTTTTTTAAAAAAAAATCAGACATCGGTTTTCTAGCAGCCATCGAAGGTAGCCGGATTTGGTGGGAAATTACAGTTTTTAGCTGCAATTTTTTGAGAACGCAGACAAAACACAATATTGTCAAACAGAAAAAATTGCGGTGTAGCACCACACCGCCACCGCACCACCGCCCCAAACACTCCCTTATGGTTTGTTTGGGGCAGCTGCAGCTTATCCAACTTATCCAGATAAGCTACTAATCAGCAGCTTATCTGAATAAGCTGTCTGACTGTTTGGTTTGTGCGTCTGAAAAACAACTGATTTTGGATAAATGATTATTCTGCCCCTATTTTGGATAAGCGGTTTAGCTGTTTGGTTTGTGTGTTTCGAAAACAACTGATTTGCAGGTTTTTTTATGTAAATGAACAATCTGACACGCAGAAGTTGTAATCTTCTCAAAAAAACTGCAATGTCTACACATTAGATATTTTAGAACCAATAAAACCTCTTCATAACAATACAAAAAATATATGCACATCACCTAATAATGAGTATCGTGAAAATAAAAAAGAAGAAATAACATGTTAAAATTACAAGTAAAAAAATAACTATTCATTTTACAATGTAGAAGCATGTCACGAGGAACGTTGCCCGGATGTGACACGGTAGAACCCTGAGCAACCTTGTCCGGTTGGGAAACAGTTGAACCACAAGCGACTATGAAGGCTATAAACTTTAATCAAGCACCTCTCAACTAAACAAACCAATAGAATAATTTCATGAACAAAGCAATAACTCATGAAAGCAGTCAATGAAAATAGGGAAAATTACATACATACCACACAATTCGTATGTATTTACATAACTAACACTAAAAGTTTGATACTTGCACTTAGAACACTTTGGTCTCATTAATCTATGTATGAAAAAGTGTATTTCACTTTTAAGGAGATAGTGTTTGTGGTATTTTTGATTTGAAGTTAAATATTTGAGTGACATGTTTGTAAAAATGAATGTTTAGGTGTTAGATGTGTAAATACGTAAGAATTGTATGATATGCATGTAAATGCCCCAAAATAGAAACTAATAGATGACATTCTAAACAAACATAGAGCTAGTGCAGATTACATTCTAACCTGCATGGATACCCAATCAGGAAAAGAACGGACAGAAGGTTGCTCCTGCGGTGGAGCCACAAAAAAGTTCAAGCATAAACATTCAAAAGGATATATACATAAAACAAATAAATAAATAAATAAATAAAATGATACAACAAAAAGGAATTTTATATTTGCATATTTACAGCAGAAGATTGAGCAAGTTAAAAAACAACATGAGTGATGATGGAAGTGTTTAGTTGTCTGCATTATGAACTAAAAATGACAAGTTTGAGCTGTAAAAACAAAACCTCCACAATATCAGAAGGTTTAGAAGCCAATTTAAATTTATGTTAGGAAGATTTAATTATGAAACAATTTTTTTTATTAAGAGGTGGGGAAGTACAGAGTAGTAAAAGGAATTTTATGTGATTTTTATTAATTTTGAGAGGACATATAATTGAGTACTACATGAATTGATTAGTGGTACTTTGTGACAGAAAGATATGTGTAAAATATATGTTTGATGGAGAAATAAAAGAGGAAACAACCTTGAAGAGATAAAAAATTATCAGTATTATCTAAGGGTACATTGATATATAAAGTGGACAATCATCAATCAATATTATCAGAAGATACATTGATATCTAAGTGTCTTGAATATCATATATAAGAATAGAAAAAAGATGAGAATAAGTTCTAGAGCTAAGGCTGGATGATTAGAATTGAGAATTATCTTGATAAATTTTTGCTTGATAATAGGATATTGTGGAGCTGAAAGGTAAACTTTATAACAGCACAAACATGCCAATAATGTCGTGTGGATCCTAATCATAAGTAGTAATAAATTCATTTAGATGGATGTGTGGCAAAGCTATGAAGGATAAATTTTGAAATAATTTTATTATAAAAAAATATTAATGGGATAACTATTGAAAATGATGTTACTAAATGCAAACTTAGATTGTTTGAAAATTTGCAATGAATGGCAGGAAAAAAAGACAGTCAAACGAGTCATGAAATTAGTATTAAATGATGAAGAAAAATAGGTAGACCTCAGATTACGCGAATAGAAGTTGCTTAAAAAGATTTGCGAAGAATGGATTCAAAACCTTAGAAAGTATTTAATAGGAACGAATAAAAAATCAAGATTTATAGTGTTTATCCTAAATAGTTGGAAAAATGACAAATGATGATGATGATTGGAATAAAGGAAAATAAGTTGAAAATATTAGTTTAAACAATGAATGTGGTAGGCCAGAAAACAAAATTGAATTGCTTTCAAGCAATCCGCATTCCAAAGGGTGTTCTATGCACTGGGATCCCCTTGTTTTAGAAATATAATAATAATATGCTTGCATTTCATTAGTTGTACAAACACAAATATTAGAATCAAAACAAGAAAAAAACTTGCATATCACCAAGCAAAAATTGGAAGAGTAGATAATATATAGAGTTGAGACGAGGGCTATGTTGTCCCCGTTAAAAGAAAGGGGCATTTACATAGGCATCTTTCTCAAACAGAGCACTCAAAGTTGTAGCTTTTACCATGTCATGATGGAATGCTTACCGGTATTACTGAAAATGATTTCTCAGTTTTGGAAGGTGCAATAGTCTCATTAGCTCCCATAGAAGTTGGCAGAAGTGGAGTTGATTACTACAGTTCTTGGTAGTAAATGATGCAGCTATAATTCTCCAGATATAGTAGAAAAATAAAGTCTGTAAGCTGAAAAAGAAAGAGAGAAAGAGCAGTATCAAATGTATATTCAAGTATCCAATTTAAGGATTGTCTGGCGACGGATTTAAAGGCATATAACTTCAATTTTTCAGGAAACTAAAACACCACTTTTAAATTCAAGATTCCATAAATTCTGTTTTAAACAATACCATTGATTCCATATTTTCGTTTTAAAAGGTTTAGATGGAATTGCTTATGAAAACATACTGTGCTTATTTCAAGTAAAGCAAACTATGCTGTAGCTATGTGGCTTCCATCTCCATCTCAAAAATTCATCATCAGGTCACCCATTCTTATAGCAATCAAAATCAATGTCGATGTAAGGGCAAGAACCCGCTGCGTAATAAGGCTTCAAGGGTTTCAGTTATGGAAGTCGAGAAGAGGAGAAGTTAGAATTTACCAAACAAGAAGCAGATGAGCCATTAGAGCGGAGAAAGAGAAAGCGGGGGAAGGCACCTGAAGTATTGATGGAAGCAAGGAGGTAGATGATGGAGGCCGCGATGCCAAGAACGAAGCCATAGAGGACACGGAGCTGTCATTTTCTGCGAGGGAGGAGAGGGAGGAGACATACAGAAGGGCAGTGGAGTAAAAATTCGCTCGACGCGGGCTCAAGACGCATGCCGGGTGGTCGATCCCGCGGCCGCGTCTATTAAGAAAATCAAAACTGTGTTTTTCAATAAATTTTTGGAACATGCAAAACAACTGCCCCAAACGAGCCCTTAGTTAGATGCTTAGTGTTTTTTTGTGGATTTCCATTGGT